TGCTGTTCTTGCTGTTATCTGGGGTTATTGTTTGCTGTTCTTGCTGTTATCTGGGGTTATTGTTTGCTGTTCTTGCTGTTATCTGGGGTTATTGTTTGCTGTTCTTGCTGTTTTCTGGGGTTATTGTTTGCTGTTCTTGCTGTTATCTGGGGTTATTGTTTGCTGTTCTTGCTGTTATCTGGGGTTATTGTTTGCTGTTCTTGCTGTTATCTGGGGTTATTGTTTGCTGTTCTTGCTGTTATCTGGGGTTATTGTTTGTTGTTCTTGCTGTTATCTGGGGTTATTGTTTGTTGTTCTTGCTGTTATCTGGGGTTATTGTTTGTTGTTCTTGCTGTTATCTGGGGTTATTGTTTGCTGTTCTTGCTGTTATCTGGGGTTATTGTTTGCTGTTCTTGCTGTTATCTGGGGTTATTGTTTGCTGTTCTTGCTGTTATCTGGGGTTATTGTTTGCTGTTGGTTGGCGCTTGTGGTCGTTGCTGTCATTAGTATCGTCACTTGCTGTTTCTGTTGTTGTGTGAGATTTGTTCTTACTGTTGTTGCTGTTGTCGTTTGCTGTTAACTGTATTGGGTATTAGTGCTGTATTAGTGCTGTATTCAACATTTGTTCGATTTTATTTTAGTTCTGTAACTTTTATTTATTTATTATTATTATGATTATTATTATTATTATTATTATTATTATTATTATTATTATTATTATTATTATTATTCATACGTCAGGGTACACATTCCACTGTATCAATTATTACTTTAATATTATTCACTTTGTATTTTTATTCATTTTATTCATCCATTGTCATTATTCATTAACAATTTCTCTTATTATCGTTCTATCTCCCTCTTTTAACGCTTAATCTAACTCATTCTCGGCGTTTAGTTTTCTCTTTGAAGACCAGCTGAGGTGTCACTAGGTGGGCAGCTGAGACCGTGATGCTAGCCAGGTAGAACAGGTGAGGGGGGTGCTTCTCCCCCCCCCTTCCTCCCTTCCTTCCCTCCCTACCTCCCTTTGTCTCTCCTTCCCTCCTATATATATTATCTGCCTCATTCTCTTTCCTTTCTTCCCTCCCTCCCTCCCTCCCTCCATTCATCCATCTTTCCCTCCCATATACCAGTGCTTCACCTTTCCTCTGGAGTCTGGAGTGTAGTAAAGGACACACACACACACACACACACACACACACACACACACACACACACACACACACACACACACACACACACAAATATGATGACTTAACACTTCTCAGATACGCCAAGTCACTGACACATTATTCTTATTGTATGGTAACTGGCAAACCGCTCTACCTCCCTCAACCTCCCTTAACCTCCCTTAACCTCCCCCCACCCTACCTTTAACCTCTCTCCTCCTCACCTACCAATAACTTCCCGACCTCGCCCCACACGCCCGCCTACACCTATTCCTAGCAACCACACACTCCCTAACCAAATGCAGATAGCCAACTGGATCCACTCTCTGGCGTTTAGTTTTTGGCTTCAAAGTTCTGCTTAGGTTAGGTTAGGAGGGTTAGGTTAGGTTAGGTTAGGTTAGGTTAGGTTAGGTTACAAAGACATTGTTGATATTATGATCATTCGGATTGAAACTTTCTTCTTCTCCTTCTTCTTCTTCTCGACACAAGGCCAGAGTACGTGAGCCACTTGTCCTCCTCGAGAGATACACACTGGAGGGGGACCTGGTCATTGCTTGTGTCTTAAGATCCTAACCTAACCTAACCTTCGAGTATGACGTCATTTAGGTTCGGTAAGGTGGTTAATTAAGTTAGTTTAGGTTAGTTTAGGTTAAGTTATCCTCAAGGTCAAAGATAATTAACAGGTGAGTATTCATGTGTCTCATTTTCTCGGTAATGTTCTGCTTACTGGTGATGCAAGACTAGGAAGACGTGCTGGCTGCGACACACACGTACGGTCAGACACACCTTGTTATGACACCGGGAGTTGCAAAAGGAAAACCATGTCCTTGTGAAGGTCAAAAGTGGTTTAAGTTTTTACATCACTTTGCTTTAATGTTTTGCTGGTGCTGTTTTAGGTAATAGACAGATATCGATTGGTAGAACAATAACAACAATAACAATAACAGTAAGAACCACAACAATAACAATAACAGTAAGAACCACAACAATAACAATAACAGTAAGAACCACAACAATAACAATAATAACAACACTAACAACAAACCCATCCTCAAGAGTCAGGTAGGCAACACCACACATACCTCCGTCAGGTAAAGCACGTCTTGGATATAAACATTCTTCACCCCACTCTACTCTACCCCCAACCCCCCCCCCACTCTACCCCACCAAACCCCTCTCTACCCCTGAACCCCTCTCTACCCCACTAACCCCACTCTACCCCACCAAACCCCACTCTCCCACCAAACCCCTCTCCCCACCAAACCCCACTCTACCCCACCGAACCCCTCTACCCACAAACCCCACTCTACTCCACCCAACTCCCCACTCTCTACCCCCCAAACCCCCACTCCCCCCACAACCCCACTCTACCCCACCACCGCACTCTACCCACCAAACCCCACTCTATCCCACTCCACCAAACCACCAAACCCCACTCTACCCACCGAACCCCACTACCCCACACCCCCCCTACTCTACCCCACCTCTACCCCACCAAACCCCACTCTACCCCACCAAACCCCTCTCTACCCCACCAAACCCCACTCTACCCCACCAAACCCCACTCTATCCCACTCCACCAAACCCCACTCGACTCCAATACCTCATCACCTTCCTAAACCTGTCTCTTCTTAACCCTGGATTGTGGAGTGATTACAGAGACTCACTCGGCCTCATCATGCCCTTCAGATATACCGCTAAGATACTACACCAAGATACTGAGACTACTGCGCCTTCTTCCGATATCCCCGTCAGGCGTTATCGATCAATCTGTGTTTCTTTATGCTAGACAAGGACAGTAAATGTGATATATCGGTGATTAATAGGAGGATATCTCTTGAGGAAAAATATAACAGAAATATTTTTGTTATTTTTTTGGTTAGAGTTAGAATCGTTGTTGTTGTAGTAGTAGTAGTAGTGGTGGTGGTAGTAGTAGTAAGTAGTAGTAGTAGTAGTAAGTAGTAGTAGTAATGGTACCTGTACATTTTCACTATCATTAAAATCATTATTCACATTAAATGGATAAAAAACAAAAAACAGGTACGGGTATTGTTTTTAACCCACCTGACTCTACCTGTATAGTACCACACCTCGTCGACAACAAAACTGGATGCGCTTCTCTCACAAGGCGTATAATATATCACGTTATCATATCTCCTAGATACTGTTATCTTAGGTGTTATCTGTTAAATGTCACCAATGTGTTTTGTGTATTTGGTCATGTGTGTGAGTGTAGTTACAACATGTGCCTTGTGTAGTGTGTATTATATACTTTGTTCTTCATCTGCATTTCAAGGTTTGGTATTTGTTCTCAAGTCAGGTGTTCTTTGAGACTTTGTTGTTTGTTGTTGTTGTTGTTGTTGTTGTTTGTTTGTTATCTTATATTCTTGTGTTAAGTGTGTAGAAATGTGCTTGAGTCATTCTTTATAAAGCCTATATGTTGACTGTATATCGTACAGTAGATGTATATAAACTTGTAATAATAATAATAATAATAATAATAATAATTATAATAATAAACGGTTTATTAATAGAGTTCCAGCCGGTGGCTGAAAATATACAAACTTACATTTGAATTAGACATAATGATATGCATTCAATACATTTACAGGGCTGTACAGTACATAAATCAGGAGTTGTTTATTATTTTAACAATAGATGGGATGGTGCTGTTCTTATATCTATCAGTGCGGGCTCTTATGGGCTTAATTTTGTTGTAGTGGCGGACTGCGCGAGGTGGGCGGGGGACTGCCGGTGGCAGGAGGTGGCGATGACGAGGATGGTGCAGTAGTCCACTGCCAAACCTTGCTAGTGCTTGGTGGTGGAGGTCACTGAGGGATGGTATTTCCAGGGTGGAGAGAGCGTTGTTGTAGCCGAAGTAGTCTGCGCCAAGCATGATTCTACAGGCCCTTTTCTGTACCTTCTCTAGCCGACGTTGTTGGGTGGAGTTGAGAGAAGACGACCAGGCTGGTGACGCATACGTTAGTTTGGGGAGAATAAAGGCGTTGTAGATGGTCCTCAGCTCTGGCTTGGGTGTCCCAAGTGACCCAACTTGTGTGTGTGTACATTGCTCTTGTTGTGGTTTAAAGACAACTATTGTCCATGACTGTGAACAAGTGTGTGTGTATGTGTGTGTATGCCACCATCATCATCATCACTACTACCACAATCACTATCACTACCACTATTATCCCTATCACTATCAGCAGTTATACTCATCTCCTGTCTCATATACTGAATGAACTACACACACACACACACACACACACACACACACACACACACACACACACACACACACACACACACACACACACACACACCAACAATCCTCTTTCTCTCCCCTCATCATCCACCAATCAAAACGCCTTTAGCTCTCAAAATAACGTTTCCTCATTGGTCACATCATAGCCCAATCATTATTTCTCTTTGACGACGAATTCTTTACTATAAAAAAAAATATTAGTCAATTATTTGTGGAATTAGACTTCAGAATGGGGGTAGATATATGGGTATGAGTGGGCATGAGGAAAGGGAGTGGGAGGGAGAGGGAGGGGAAGGGAGTGGGAGGGAGAGAGAGAGGGAGGGAGGAGGTCGCTGTATATATTGTGGGTAGCTCGTCGTCCATGCTGGCAGATGACCACGGGACCTCCCACCTAACAGTGTGCTTCATGTGAGTGACCAGACCGGACGACGCTAGTTGAGGGCTCTCCTAACTCCTCCTCCTCCTACTACTACTCCTCGATCTCTTCCTCCTCCTCCTACTACTACTCCTACTCCTTCCCCATCTCTTCCTCTCCCTCCTCCTTATCTAACTCCTCCTCCTCCTACTACTACTCCTCGATCTCTTCCTCCTCCTCCTACTACTACTCCTACTCCTTCCCCATCTCTTCCTCTCCCTCCTCCTTATCTAACTCCTCCTCCTGACGCAGCTGTGAGTGTGTAGTGTCTCCCACGTTACTCACTGCTGTTGTGGCGACGACGAAGGGGTGACGTAGACACTGAGGAAATTGTGATTCGCGTTATGGTTGTAATGGTGACCCTGGCGGTGTGATGGTGAACGGTGTTATAATAGTGATATAGTGTTATGATGGTGAACACGGTGTTATGATGGTGATATAATGTTATGATGGTGAACACGGTGTTATGATGGTGAACACAGTGTCATGATTGTGAACACGGTGTTATGATGGTGAACACAGTGTTATGATTGTGAACACGGTGTTATGATGGTGAACACAGTGTCATGATTGTGAACACGGTGTTATGATGGTGAACACAGTGTCATGATTGTAAACACGGTGTTATGATGGTGATATAGTGTTATGATGGTGAACACGGTGTTATGATGGTGAACACAGTGTCATGATTGTGAACACGGTGTTATGATGGTGAACACAGTGTTATGATTGTGATCACGGTGTTATGATAATGAACACTGAATTGTAATGGTGAAGAGTGTTGTGATAATGAACATTGCTATAAAAAGTGAACACAGTGTACTTCTGCAGAACATTCAATACTTACCTTTATAACATATACTCACTGAGAAGAACATACCGTACAACTTAGAACTTTCTCTCACTGTCGTACTAAAGTTTTATCCCTGGAAGTTTATTTTTATGTCAGGTAATGAGGAGATGAACCAGGTATTTAGAGCAGGTAAGGATGGTTAGGTTAGGTTAGGTTAGGTTAGGTTAGGTTAGGTTAGGTTAGGTTAGGTTAGCGTTAGATTAAGTTAGCGTTAGGTTAGGTTTTGGTTAGCTCGATAAAGTGTTTAAGTAGAGTTGTATTGTGTGTTTAAGTAGTGTTCTGTGGTACTACTTAACATAATCACTAGCAAGTCTTGTGTTCTGTACTCCCTTGGTGGTGTGTGTGTGTGTGTGTGTATATGTGTGTGTGTGTGTACAGTAATTATAACGTATGTAGAAATCTGTAGAAAGTACTTAATGTAGAATCGTATCGTGCGTGGTGGTATGTGTGTGGTATGTATAGGAATGTATTGCAGTAGTAGTAGGGTGACCTGGATAATAGAGTACCAGGTAATAATCTGACATGGGGAACAGGTTTCAGGTATGGCTATCAATAGGAGCAGGTGACTGACCACTCTTGACAGCCTTCACGTGTGTGTGAGTGTGTGTGTGTGTGAGACTTTGTGTATGTATGTTTGTGTATGCAATAGTTTCACATCACAAAAAATAATCTATTATCACCCACTACTTCTTGTGTATATACTTGAACGCTATCCTAAGTAATGATAAGTACCGTTTTCTTTCTCAATATCCTTTATCGTTTTCTGTAATAATATATGAAGGGGAAACTACAGAAAACATTAGAAGCCGCGTATGACTTCTCCCCCGTTGTCTGTGTTAGATCAAACTGCATCTTATCCATTCCTCTGACAAATCAAAGCCAAAAGTCCTTATATTATTTTAAATCTTACTCTTTTGTGGATTTATTTTGATCGTAATTAGCAGAGAACGAGAGAGAATTTTGGTGTAGTTATTTTACGTCAATCGTGGGTCGTAACTCACTGTATTCACGATAGATGGAAGTAATGTTTTTGTTTTGTTTTTCTTTCTCCTCTTCAGGTTGTCATACGGATTCAGGCACCTCCTCAGTCATCAACAGTGTCGTGTAAACTGCAGCATCAACCACAACCACTACTACCACTACTACTACTACTACCACCCTCCAGCCCCAGTGACAACCAGTTGCCACTAATGTACTATAGCTTAAACTACCACCACAGCAATAACCACAACTACTACTATTCATCAGCTATAGTGACATCCAAATACCACCACTCTAGCTCCAACAACTACAAAAACTACCACCTACCACCACCACCACCACTACCTACCACCACCTACCACCATCACCCATCACCACTTGAGTCATGTCCTCATCGTGTGTACCTCCTAAGGGCTGTGTCGTCCATAATCACGACTCTTACAACTATGACGACCACGACGACTCCTCTAGTGAATGTGGGTCGCTCTGTACCTGCACCTCCAGCAGCATGACCTCCTTGACCTCTTCCACCGTCAGTAGAGACCCCAGCAGACTTGGCCAAAACAGTGAGTCGTCTGTGTCCTTAGCCATGCCCTCCACAGCCACCCTCACTGCCACACACACAGCCACCCGCACAGCCACAAACACAACCACACAAACAGCTACACAGACAACAGACAGCAGCAGCGGCAACCCGTATATAGTGGTGTTCGTGCCACCGCAGATGGTGCCAGGGAGGATACGTACCAGCTGCGGTAACTGTCAGAACCACAAGGCTCTCCAGGAAGCCCTCCGGACCTCTTTGATGAGAGCGTGCGACTTCTTCCCGTGGGTAGCCGGGTTCGTCATCATCTACTACTCCTTCTACTGGTGGGGACTCGGGTCAGGGTTTTCGGCGATCCTTTTCACGGTCGGGGCTCACGCCATCATCCGCTTCGTGAAGACCCGCGGCGTGCTTGAGTGCTCCTCCATCAACTCCTCCCAGCCCCAGCAGGAGGATGATCCCTCCGTGAGTAACATCATCTATCGCAGCAGCCCTCTCTCTCTCTCTCTCTCTCTCTCTCTCTCTCTCTCTCTCTCTCTCTCTCTCTCTCTCATATTCGGCACCTACACTTCATTGCCTGTTGCTACACGTCACTGCCTTGAAAGATACTGTTTGTATTAGATATTTACAGGGTCCTTCGTCACTTCAGAATTCTTACGTAACATATTATTTAAACTTCTCAGTTTATTGCCATGACATAAGCAACACACAAGTGCAATAGTAAATAAACAATGTTGTTCCTGCAGCCTTGGATCCAGTTCTCAATGTAAGCTTAAAGAGAGTCGGGCGTGTTATAGGCTGTGTGCTGAGTGACCATCCATGACAGCAGACACGAGCCAGGCGCTCAGGATTACTATACAGTAATGCTCACAGGCATGAATGGTTTTCCTGGGCTATCTCTTGTTTGATGATTTAATGTTAAATAGGATGGTTAAAAAAGTCAGCCAATCAATAAATTCATCAGTCACTCTGTCAGTCAGTCAAGGTTAGGATTCATAGAGCTGTTGACGCAGCTTGAGACAGGCAGCCTCGACCGAGCAACAGTAATAGCCTGCTTTTGTTTCCTTTACTTCTGCAGGAGGAGGACGAGGAGGAGAGCGAGGGTGAGACGCAGCAGAGAGGACAGGAGGAGGTCGTTACTCGGGACCTGGCCAACGAGAAGCCTCCATCCTACGAAGCTGCCGTGGTGAAGCCTCCGCCCTACGACCTCCAGTTTCATCTAACCCCCCGGCAATCCCGCTGTCAGGCCGTCCTCAACCACCCCGACGACAAGAACGTCATCAAGGTGGACTTCCTGACGGTGCCGACCCTTACGGTAGACAACACGAAGGATGTGGAAGGAGCGCTCGACGACAAGGAGGACCTCTCCCTTCCCTCCTACCAGGACGCCATCAGATTATCCTTCAGGAGTGATAAGAGTTCAATGGGAAATCAAGACCGTGAGTGAGGATGTGGCTTCTTCCATGGCGCCATCAGATCATCCTTCAGGAGCAACAAGAATTCACAGGTACAGTAGAGACTGGAGTAACGAGCAAGAGGAGAGTCTTGGATACCTCGGTCCACCTTCTTCTCCAGACGATAATTGTTGTAGTGTTTTCTAATGGTTATATTTTCTACAATTTTTCCAAGTGACAAGTTGAGGCGCTGTGAATTGGATTTTGAAACGCTGGATTTGGGCATATTTGCTCGTTCAGGCCAAGGAACCAATCAGAAGCGCCAGGAGACTGTGTATCGACAGTTAACCAATCAAAGACGTCTTCTAAGAGACTACGTATCGACAGGGAGCCAATCAGAAGCTCCAGTAGGCTACATATCGATAGGAAACCAATGAGAGACGCTTGCCAAGAGATTAAGTACCTACATGGAACCAATCAGAAGTTCTCGGTAGGATCTGTCATACCACACATCCCAAACTCCTAAATTCCTTGGAAATGAGTCTACTCACATCCTAGAGTGTACTTGTACACGTGGCCAGTCTCTCATGCAGCTGTAGTGTGGTGGCGGTATGACACCGTGTGGCCAGACTATCATGCAGTTCATGGGTGACAATCACGGCAGGAAGCTTCAAGGTGTCGACACTCGCCCCACTGCAGCTGGTCGTAACAGATGGGCCTCGACTCGACGTGTGTTAGGAGATGAACCTCACACTTGACGACCTCGTCTCACATTCCCAGAAGTTCCGTACGTTAAACTGAACCAATTAAAGGTTTATCTCAGGGGTTCGAGGAGGCCAGGAAACACGATACAACAGTGAGTGAGGACCTGTTGTATTGTATGAATCATCAGATGATCTTGAGATGATGAAATAGATTCTCAAAGCACCGTAAGTTAATTTTCCTCCCTTAACTAGAAATTGGAAAAGGCTCATACCGCTTCCCTGGAACTATAACAGAAATATGACCGTCTGCATGATGGTCAATATTTCACCAATATAAGTTATCGTTAAATAAGGATTCATCTAAGGGCAATCTGAGACTGTGAACGCAAACATATCGTCACTGGGAAGACAGGGCGTATTAGTAACCACCGTAGACAGTGTACGATAGTGGTGGTTCAGATGGGCCCCAGTTCTAATGGGCCCCAAACTCATACATTCTAACCCATAGTCTCATAGTCTAACCTTAATAGGCCCCGGTTTCAATAGACCTAATGACCCCAAGTGTTGACCCCAGGATAGAGGAATGTGTATAGCTTAACAGAAGGAGGATTACCCCGCATGACCAGCCAGTAACTGTGTCTGACCCGTCCACTACATCACGTAATACCTCCAACATACCTGAATGACGTCATCAGTATACCTTCAGCTGGATGAAAAGAGATGAAGAAAAGTATGACGTCAGGAATCGTCAGCTACCCGTAGTCCCCCCCCTCCCCTCTGACGCATCGCTCAACCAGGCTCTAGGAACGCTTGCTAAGGTATATCGTCCAAGCATTCGTCAGCGTTGAAGCCATGACCCGGCACTCTGGCAAAAAATACCTACCTACCTACCTACCTACAACACCTCACCCATCGTAAAAATTAATGTAAATAATATAAATATTTTTTTTTTTTTACGTTCATCCAATCTTTCTACCTAGGCATGATTGGCTGGGCAGGTGAGGATATCCTGGTAATTAGCATTCAGCAGCTAGCAGGTTACTACACCACCTTGACTGGATGCTATTCCACCCAAGGTTTGTTCCACCATCGAGAAGTGTTGCCGACAGTGTACTCATTTATCTCTTGAGTGCATCAAGAGTGAGTGTAAAGGCTGATAACTGTGCAGGTATCACCGTCTTGGTACACCTGAGAGGGTAGAAGGTGTGTGAGGGTAATTATAAACAGGTGGATGGACGCTGGGCTCACCTGATCTCTCTCTCTCTCTCTCTCTCTCTCTGTAGATAATGTAAGTAGCAGTAACACAAGACAATGCATTAAGTAAAGAGAGATACTAACCGTGAGAGAGTGTAGTGTGACGTAGTTTATAAGTATTACTATAGAATGTAAAGTATTTAAGTATATGTGGTGTTACAACATCAAATTGAGACAGAGTTTATTTTTTTTACTAAGAACTGTAATGTATAGTGAGAATAAACTGTCTTTAAAATATCGGCGTTCTTTTCTATATGACCCTGAATTAACCTGTAAAATAATCTATATGACCCTGAATTAACCTGTAAAATAATCTATATGAACCTGAATTAACCTGTAAAATAATCTATATGAACCTGAATTAACCTGTAAAATAATCTATATGACCTGAATTAACCTGTAAAATAATCTATATGAACCTGAATTAACCTGTAAAATAATCTATAAGACCTGAATTAACCTGTAAAATAATCTATATGACCCTGAATTAACCTGTAAAATAATCTATATGACCTGAATTAACCTGTAAAATAATCTATATGAACCTGAATTAACCTGTAAAATAATATATATGACCTGAATTAACCTGTAAAATAATCTATATGACCTGAATTAACCTGTAAAATAATCTATATGACCTGAATTAACCTGTAAAATAATCTATATGAACCTGAATTAACCTGTAAAATAATCTATATGACCTGAATTAACTTGTAAAATAATCTATATGAACCTGAATTAACAGTGTGAAGGGGACACGATAGTAACCTCGTACTTTGGCTCATAAGCATTCAATCCATCGATGGGTCAACACGCATTCTCGCCCCCTCCCACCAACGTCCAAACTACCTCACCGTGTCCTAACTGCTGAGGAGGAAAGAGTGAGGGATTGAGAGCTGAGAGAGGACGACTAGCAGGTGAGGAAGGAGGAGAAGAAACGCTGGGAAGGATAAGGAGAGAGCAGATAGGAGGAAAAATATGAGGAGGTGAGTTTTGGCATGAAAGGTGGACGGAGGCTTCCCACTTTTCCCCATCCCACACAAATGCTCAATTAGAACATGGAGGCGCAGTTAGTCAGTCATTTTGAGTACTAAAATATTAACTGGGGTCATAGGGCTCTGGTGACACCCTAACCTAACCCAGAGAGACGCAGGGAGGTTACTAGCAGCCTTGTACGACGCCCTCACTAACCATCAGTCATGAATGTGAGTCATCCACGTAGAGCTTCCTGATACTACTGCTGAGTGTTTAGTGCTTGTTGTAGCTCTCTCTCTCTCTCTCTCTCCATAAACGTGAAAGCCGCTTCTGAACATTTCCCACACACACACTCATACACACACACACTCATACACACACACACTCTCATACACACACACACACACTCATACACACACACACACTCATACACACACACATGAATAAGGAATTTAGGGAACAGTTTTCAGAAGGTAGGAAGTACTTGTTGTGAACTCCGTGGATAGTGTGGGTGGTGACGGCTGCCGCCCAGGGAGTATGGGAGGTGGTGTGTTGTGGTGAGCAAGGATAATGACGTGATTATGGTGACCATGATAGTGATGATGGTGATACGATCCTGGTGACAGTGATAGTGATGATGGTGACACGACCCTGGTGACAGTAATAGTGAAGATGGTGACATTACAATACTTAAGGTAAGGTCAAAATGGGGTCCCTTATTTGACCTACAGAACAGTGACTTGTTTTCGTCGCCAATAAGAGGTCTAGTGCCTCAGCCTCAATAACAAAAGACAAACAAGCAAAACAAATATGTGTAGCCTGAGAGTGATTTAGGTGTGAGTGGGGAGTGAGTGGGGGAGTGGGGAGTGAATTAAGGAGTGAGTGGGAGTGAGTTAAGGAGTAAGTAGGGAGTGAGAGGAGGAGTGAGTGGGGGAGTGGGGAGTGAATTAAGGAGTGAGTAGGGAGGAGGAGGAATGGGGGAGGTCCTGCAGCAGGGCGTGGGGGAGACATTACAGCAGGGCGTGGGGGAAGTCCTGCAGCAGGGCGTGGGGGGCATTACAGCAGGGCGTGAGGGAAGTCCTGCAGCAGGGCGTGGGGGAGGCATTACAGCAGGGCGTGGGGGAGGTCCTGCAGCAGGGCGTGGGGGAGGCCCTACAATAAGCACTCACTAGGAAGTACATCGTCAAGGTCACTCACACGGGAAGTGGACACTCAACTGCCTCTAGTGTACCAGCGTTCCATGACCCTGTGAAGCTGTCCCAGGGCCCTAGTGAGGCTGTCCCAGGGCCCAGGTGAGACTGGCCCAGAGCCCTAGTGCACTAGCGTCCCAGGGCCCTAGTGAGGCTGTCCCAGGGCCCTAGTGAGGCTGTCCCAGAGCCCTAGTGCACTAGCGTCCCAGGGGCCCTAGTGGGGCTGGCCCAGGGCTCGGGTGTACCAGCGTCGTATGCGTTTTTTTTTCTGATGACGTCAATTTCCCTGTTTAATTTTCAACGCGTTATGTGACCTTCAGAGCTAGTTGTTACTCTCTCTCTCTCAGCCAGGGGCCACACACCAGGACCACACACCACCGCCTCACCACACCTGTCTCCGACCTCCACAGATGTACGGTCCTCCTGCCCTGATGCCCTCATATTAAGCTCTGTGCCGACACGCTAAACCCAGTCGATTATTGTCATTAGTAATCCAATACAATGCTAGTCTGTGGCTGTCATGCGGGCGGAGGGAGGGATGGGAGGGGGGTGAAGGAGGGAGGGAAGGAGGGTGAAAGGGTAGAGGTGTGTCACTTGGTTTTGTTCAATTGCTGTAGATACTGTTTTAAGTCGTACCTTCTGCGGGTCTGAAGGTTTGGGCTCAGGTGGTGGTATTAATGGTGGTGGTGATAGTAGTGGTAGTTGTGGTGGTGGTATAGGGGAATTGCTGGTTGGCTGCACACACACACACACACATGCTGAGGAGATGGAGTACAAGGATAGGAATAAAAAAATAAGGTTTACAGGACGCAAGAAGAATGAATAAATAAAAAATACGAACTCATCGAGAGAAAGATAATGAAAAAACAACTAATAAGGTGCTGGGTATGGGAGGCGTGTTCTTAACTGGCGTCCTACTGGGTGGTGTACTGTGTCCCTGGAAGCCGAACTACTCAACTGACTCTTTAAAAGCCTCCTTCACAAGTACAAGGGCCCCAGAGCTCTTTGTTTTGCGTATTAGAGAATTAACCTTACTAGTACCGGGTGGATAAAATAACTTGTGTTCCTAGTATGTAGTTAGTTACTTAGCTAGTTAGTTAGTTGCTTGGTTACTTGGTTGGTTGTTTGGTTACTTGGTTGGTTGCTTGGTTACTTACTTGCTTGCGTGCTTGCTTGAATGGTTGCTTGGTTAAAAATCCTCATTGATAAATAATTAGTACAATATAATTTGGCCTAATCTGAGTAATTAATTCATGTCTTAATGGCAAAACTGAAGCTACCACTTAAGAGCTGGGTGTATGTAGTGAGTGTAGCTGATTTAAGTGCATAGGTAAATACACCTTGGACACGTAAACATTAAGATACATCAGTAGTTCCCAAGCAACAGCGGGATAGTATGAGTTGGTTCCTTGACCTGGAAACGTGGTGGGAATAAGAGACAGCTCCACACCTTGCTGCCTCTCACACCATCCAATCTCGCACAGGAAGAGCTTGTTTATTTCTTAAGATATCTTCAAGGGTTAACCTCATTAGTACTTGTTGTCAGGGAAGATAGTCTTTATTATTTGTATACGCAATATCTTGTTCTCGCTCAGGAAATAAAAAGAAACGATAACTTCATGTTTTTTGTTTATTTCTCAAAATCTCGCCAGGGATATTTTTTTATATTTTCTTGACATCAGGGAGATATCGTTTATTAACCCCTTATAAGTGATATCTCGTCATCAGGGTCAATAATTCTGTTAATAATACTTAGACAAGAATTATCATCTTCATCCATAGGAGAAGAATGAAATTATTAGATACATAAAAACACTTAACAACTGAACACACATATTTTACCCTCTGGTGATACATGAATGAGTTTTAATAGCTCTTCAAAATCAAGTTCTCTTACTCAGTCATCTAATCAAATGACTGACTGATATGCTCTACTGTAGGAGGGTGGTAGAGGTGTCAGAGAATGGTAGTCACTCTGTCATATTCTGCCTAGTACGACTTTTCTCCTTCTTGTGGAAGTCAGAAAAGGGTGAATTCTCTGCCATATTCTGCCCTCGATCGCTTTATTCAGTCACCTTGTTGTTCAGTTTGTCCTTCAGTATCGGGAAGATTATCTTAGGTTTGTTGTCGAGGTTCTGACGTAGTGTGAGGGTCTTCCTGGTACGGTAGAGGACGATAGATAGAACCACGGACACCACTACCCCAGCCACCGCTAACACCACCATCAGAAACAAAACTTTACCTGAAATTAACACCATTATCATTATTTTACCGTCATTATCACCATCATCATCATCATCATCACCTCGTGGATAATTTCTTGAGACACAGAATAAATGACAAACACACGCAAAATAAACAGAGAAAAAAGATAAACACAGACTAAACAACGAGACAAACAGACAGACAAATAAACAGACACGAGAAGGCACAAAGACAAACAGATAGACAGACAGACAGACACAAACAGACACAGACAAACGGTACTCACAAACATGTAGTAAATCGTAGTGCCGAACTTGCCCCGCCTCGCAGACAACACGTAGGCAGCCCATCGTCCATCGTTCACCCTCACTATATGCTTCGTCTCTCACACTACAGCCTATCGAGTGAAGGACGAAGAGATAGTTTCAATCTATTGGGGGAGAGAGGAGAGATAGGGGAGAGATATACAGCAAAAAAAATATAGAAAGGAAGAGATGAAGGTTAGTCTACACTTCTCAAATAGCCAGCCATAGAAACGAGACATGATAATTCGAGTGAGACAAGTGTAGGAGATGGAGTTATGCTTGTAGACCTGAGAGAATAGAGAAAGAAGAAACGAGAAAGACAAACAAAGAGAGAGGGAGAGAGAGATAAAGAGACTGAGACAGAGAGAATATCAATATGGTTGTGTGTGAATGTTAAAAGAGAGACAAACAGAATGAATGTGGTTCTGCGTGTGCTGGAAAACCAAAGACCCAACACAGCACTAGTATAGAGTGGGTATGACTATTGGTGAACAGCTGCCTAAGTGAGCACGTTAAGAGGGTAGCCTTGGCACTGTGTTAGAACGCTTGGGTGGAGGTATAGGGAGATGGGAAGAAGAACAAGAACAGCAACAAGAACAAGAACACGAAGAACAAGAAAACACTGTATGCATGTTTTCATAAGTGTGTACATGTTACTGTGAGTATATCTTGACATTAAGGTGGGAACAGTGTGTTATATTCAACTAGCTGTGGCTATTAATGCTCGAGTGAGGATGGTGACATGAAGATAGCTATTAATGAGAGAGAGAGAGAGAGAGAGACATACTTACATGATGAAAGCACGTGTGTGGGTTGGGCAAGTCCTCCTCTACACACCTGTTGATGACATCCTTCGGGCCAGGTGTGTCCATCGGGATACACCTGGCCATCCACCGCCCTACAACCTGACCAACACACATACACACGTTATTATCTCGGTGTTGATAATGTTTATTGGATCTGCCACACACACACACACACACACACACACACACGCACACACACGCACACACCATAGTAATTTGTATAGTTTAGATAATAGAAATAAATACATCAATAGGTATATAAACATTTCACTCACAGCTTAAATAAACCTTATATAAGATCAACTATAACAGATCACCTGAAGCTTAGACAACCCACAGCTTATTTTACCTGATGATTAAACACCCTAATGCTAGTCGGGAGATTAGGTTAGGGTTAGGTTAGGTTAGGGTTAGGTTAGGTTAGGTTAGGTTAGGTTAGGTTAGGTTAGGTTAGGTTAGGGTGGGTTTGGTTTGGTTAAGGTAGGTTAGGTTAAGCTTAATTAGGGTATTTAATCATCCGGTAAAATAATAATCAAGGGTGTCTATTCTTCAGGAGATCCAATATAACCTGAAGAAGTAACAACAGGTGAGAAGGCTGACGTACAGGTGGTGAGTACTGCCAGGGGGACGACCTGTCCTCTCTCACACCCCAGGTGGCGACAACCAGCTGACCAGGTGGTGCCGTGACCATGTTCCTCCCCCTCCAGCTGGCAACCTGCGAGAGAGACAGACAGACAGGGAGAAAGAGAGAGACAGAGGGAGAGAGAGAAAGAGAGACAGAGAGAGAATCACAAAATGCATTAGTTTACATTAATTTTTTGATGCATATATGAAAATTATCAAAATAAATTACTCGAAAAATTTATAATGAACAGACAGACAGACAGACAGACAGACAACTGTAAGAAACCATATGTGTCTTTCTACAACACAAGAAACACAGTCACATATACTCACATGTGCCAGACACCTGTGGGTTCCTCCAAACCTGTCCTCGTACACACCTGTTCTCGTGACAACCATCATGCCAGCGTGCCTCGTGATGGTACACCTGCCCTGACACATGACAGTCTGCCAGAGAGTCATAACAATGTGACATACAGTTAATTACTCGATGATATATCAAAACTCAACACGATTAAATATTAATTCATTGTTATTTGAGGTGATTTGGTAGTTCAGGTGGAATGGGGTGGAATTTTTTAGGTAATTTTGATAGGTTAGGTGAAAGTCTCATACCTAGACCAGGTGAGGCGGGGGATGACGGCCTCCAGGTATCGCCATAGCAGGTCAGGCGACGAAGAGGAGCCACACCTGTGTCTCCCTCCTTCAGGCAGGTCTTCCCCTCCACCACACACTGCGTCCCTCTCTGACCTGTGATAACACTACGTACTCAGGGACACATTATCGTACTCTGGATCCCATGTATGTATCTTTGGATCTCTGTACGTATTCTGTGAGTCATGTACGTGTTTTGGAACCCATGTTAGTATTCTGAGACTCATGTGCGTTTTCTGACACCAATGTATGTACTCTGGGGACCTATGCACGTACTCTGGAACATATTTACGTACTCTGGAACCTACTCTGGAACCTATTTACGTACTCTGGAACCTATTTACGTACTATGGGACCTTATTACGTACTATAAGACCCATTTACAGTACGTAATCAAAGACCAAGTTGATTTACTATTACACTTTTACTACTTACTTAAAGGTAATTAGAGATGCACTTATAAAACTCTTCAAAGTATGTAAGTCGACTTGTAACACCTGCCTCACCTTCCATCAGTGTAGCCAATGCCTTCATCCTCTTCTCCCTGGCCAAATCAACCGGAGTCTTACCTGTAATAAAGGTAATAACACTAATAACAATAATTATAATCATCAAGACATTACCCAGAGCACACATTATTATCATTACAGAAATTTAACTACTAAAATACAACACTAATTGACCCTCATTACTCACGTTGATAGTTGATTAGGGTCAAGTCTGGGCAGAAGAACAAGAGAGCTTCGATCATCGTGACATTTCTACCCCGAGTGGCCAAGTGTAGCACTGTGTTGCCTGCCGAGGGGGGACAGTGAATAAGAGGAATGTGTGTGAAATAATGTAATTGGTCTAATGCTAATTCTACCTCTCTCACGATGGCCATGTTTTAGGCTTCTGATATTTTAGGTTTATGATATTTTGGTTCCATGACACTCTCGGCCCCTCACACTTTGGGTCTCTCACACTTTGGGCCCCACATACTTTGGGCTCCACATACTTTGGGCCCCTCACACTTTGGGCCCTACACACTTTGAGCCTCTCACACTTTGGGCCCCCACACACTTTGGGCCTCACACACTTTGGGCCTCACACACTTTGGGCCTCACACACTTTGGGCCTCACACATTTTGGGCCTCACACACTTTGGGCCCCACACACTTTGGGCCCCTGAGATACACGACAATAGACACAGACAGACAGACAGACAGAGACGAAAACGCAATGACTTGAGAAAGACAAATAATCAAGAAACCTAATTCTCACCATTGTTGTCCACAGTATCTACGTCCACGCCGTAGTTAAGCAGTATGGTAGTCACGTCCAGTTCCTTGTGCTCCACGGCGTAGTGTAGAGGCGTCTGACCTGAAGAAAAAACAACTGGACGTCTCAACAAACAGGTAATTGTGTTTTTGTTTTGAGTTTGTTTTGGTTTTTTGGTTTATCTTTTGTTTTGTTTTTTGTTTTTTGTTTTGGTTTTTTGTTTTTTGGTTTTGTTTGTTTTTTGTAAGGTATTTTTTATTGTTTGTTTAAGGTTTTTTTCGTAACTTAAACTAAGATGTGTCGTAAGGTCATCAATTAAAGGGAAAAATTTACCCTTGAATCTTTGTTTGTTCGAATCTAACCAAACCTAACCAAAACACACACACACACACACACACACACACACACACGTACCTAGTATGTCCCTGGCCGTAGGATCAGCCCCGTGTCCTAACAGAATCGCCACTACTTCCTCACGACCGAACCAGGAGGCATAGTGTAGCGCCGTCAACCCTACAGGTACACACAAGGGGTCAGAGGTCAGGGGTCATCACCGAGCATTATTATTCTCGTAGCAATATCATAAATACGCTAGACTTTAATATTTATTCAGAAAAGTCCATACTGACAGGGAACAAATGAGTGATCCCTACAGTACCTTCATTATCCTTGGCTTCAACATCAGCTTGGTTGGCTAGTAAGATTTTCACTACCTTGGCATTGAGCAGCTCAGCGGCGTAATGCAAAGCTGTTTGACCTATGGTGTAAAAAGTGTCAAGGTGAACTAATATTTAACACCTGTGTACCTGGAACTAGATATTTAACATTTAGGAATCTAGAATTTAACATATTAGCACCTGGGTTTAAATATTTAACAGAACGTTAACTACATATATAAAAAGAGAGAGAAATAAGTGGCCAAAGGTGACAGATAGACAGAGAAAAACGTCGACAGAGATAGTGAGAAAATTCAGCTTGAGAGATGGAGAAATGAGATAGGAAACAGAGAGGGACAAATAAAGCATAGACACTGAGGAGGAGTTTAGAGAAAAATAGAAAGAGAAAGAAAGAAAACAAGACAGGCGTAACTATAAAACACAAACAGACAGAATACCGTAGTGGTCGACGGCAGAGACATTAGCATGATTAGCCAGCAAAGTCTTCACTGCCCCCACTCGACCCAACCAGGCAGCCTCGTGAAGAGCTGCCTTACCTGTCAGAGAAACCAACCCCAGCTCAGGTGTGACGACGACCAGATAAAGTGATACTAACATAACTTTATTTTCGAATGAGGAAAGAAAATGGATTAGGAAAATCGTAATTAAATATGTTTGTTTTTTTTTCGAATAAAAGGACAAACAGATGATCACTAAATAATTGAGAATAAAAAGTTTAAGGAATGTGAAAGTCATTCTCATAGGCCTGGCGGATCACTTGTAGATAGAGCGTTCGCCCCATGCCGTAAAGGTCGCTGATTAGGGTCCCAGGGCACGCACTAGTTTGACTCTATGACTCAGTGACTCACCATCATCGTCTGGCGCGTCTAGGTCAGCGTCCCCGGCCAGTAGAGCGTCCAGTACCTCCTGCCGCCCGAACCAGACGGCCTCATGTAAGGACGTCTTACCTGAGAGACACCAACAATCAAACATAGAAAGATAGATTACATTAAATAAGTCTATTTAAACCCCTAAATAAAGATAATTAACCCAGTAAGAAAGTCAAATGGAGAGATAAATATAATTAATTAAGGAAAGGTAATTTAAACAGGTAAATCAATATAAAGTCATTAAGATAGATGACTCAGAGCCATTCTTACCCCAGTTGTCTGAGGCGTTGACGTCAGCTTGTCGCGCCAGAAGTTCCTCAACTAAGGCCACACTTCCTTGCCTCGCCCCTACTTGTAGTGCCGTCTGTCCTGCTAACACTTATCCTCTGTTACATTACGTCTTGGTGTACAGTGTTGGGGTGGTGTACTGTACATATCCTCTATACTGTACAACACCTATTACAGTAATCACACCTACATTGTACTACACAGAACATAGAGAGAGATATTCTGATGTCTTCTTTCCTATATAGACAGACAGACAGACAGACAGATGGAAAGAGAATGATGGGTGAAGATTGTAAAGATGCCAGAAGAAGAGAGAAAAATGGAGAGATACGAAGAGAAAGTGAAACAGGTAGACAGAGAGACAGGCACCAGAAAGAGATGAAGAAGAGACAGGGAGAGAGACATCAGAAAGAGACAGAGACACTAACACCCACCTGCACCGTCTCTAGAATTGACAGACACACCCATATCCAACAGGCTCCTCACCTCCTCCAGGTCCCCGGTCCTCGCTGCCTTGATGAGAGTCAGGCCATCTGTAGAAGGTCACCAGCAGTTCAGGTCAGGTTAGGGTAATTTGGGGTCATGGGTTGTGGGGGTGTTATCAGAAGAGTGAAACAATTGGTCAAAAGACTATTTCAAAGGATGAGAGATATATCAATATGAAACGGAATCTCTCTCTCTCTCTCTCTCTCTCTCTGAAATACCAACAGGCACTGACATACCTTGCCTGTCATCTACGGTGATAGTAGTGGCACCTATCACCAACAGTGCAAGTGCCAATACTCTTAATGGCATCTTGACCTTACGTGTGCTGCTTGACCTTGGCTGGATGTGACCTCTGAGCCCAATTAAGTGACCTGAGAGCTTCTTAGGTCACATTTAGACGACGTCCGAAGGGTAAAAATTTTATATTTGTTTATTTTGATTTATTATTTATTATGCTTGATTCAAGAGTTCATTACGGTTTGTGCTTCATGGGATAATTAAATAGTTTCATGGGTCTTTAATTATATTATATGGGGGTAATTAGCTAGTATCAAAATAATTAGTTAATTTCAAGGGCTAATTAGCTATTTTAGGGGTTGAGTAACTAATTTCAGGGATAATGAAGTAAATTTTAGGGGTACCTCGTTAATTTTAGGGCTAATTCAGTAATTTCAGGGTTGATGTATTAAATTCAGGTCCGACGACTTCAGGGAGGACCAGTGAACTTCAGGGCTGGCCAAGTGCAAAATGCGATCCCTGAAATATTAAGAGAAAATGAAACACAGATGATAGAAGGGCAATAGTGAACAACTCTCTCTCTCTCTCTCTCTCTCTCTCTCAGAGAGGGGTAGAGGGGATGAGGGTGCCAAATACGGGTGCCAGATCTGCCGAGTTAGTGGCAATGCCCTGACAGCTGTGGTACCAAAACTATGGTACGAGAGAGTGAGAGAGAGAGAGAGAGAGAGAGAGTGTGTGTGTGTGTGTGTGTGTGTGTGTGTGTGTGAGACAGGCAAACACAGAAAAGCCTGACATCATCCGCCTGTATAAACTAAGATAGAAATTCACTTGAGGTGGTAACACTGTCGAAAAAAGTCATCAATATAGCTATGATTCAATACATTTATGAGTGTGTGTGTGTGTGTGTGATAGCTCTTAGTTTGAATGAGTGACTGACTGACTGACTGGCTGACTGACTGGCTGGCTGACTGACATACACAAACACACCCAAGCACATGTACTCAAAACACACACATGTATGTATGTATGTATGTATGTATGTACACTTAAACTACACAAATACACTTACCTCCTAATACACTTCCATGAGGCAAGGGTGTAGGATGGTGTCACTCCCTGGGTGTAGGAGAGTGGTGACTTAAGGAAAATGACGTGGGTGTAATAGACTTGGGTGTAGGGTGAGTGCATAGGGTGTAGTGCATATATGTGTGTGTCTTTAGCGAGTGTAAGTGTATAATGTAGATGTATGATATATGCTTCTATGTGTAGTATCTTGGGTGTAGAGAGTGTAGCTGCCTCAAGTGTAAGCGTGTGTTATAGGTGGCGATAAGTACACCTAAAAATACCACGTGTGGGGTGTAGGGGGTGTATATTAATGTAAACAGGGTGACAAGTGTGAGTGTAAAGCATCACTCAAGTGTCAGTGGAGGTGATACACTTAAGTGCATCGGATGTAGGTTAGAAAACTGAGAGAGTGCAGTGTAGGTGTAGTAAGGTACACTGGCAAACAAGCACTGCCTCTTCTTATATTAACTGGCCTCCCTCACACCCACACACGCCCACCAGGTATATATTTATATCTGTGTGTGTGTGGGGGGGGGGTGTGTATGTGTGGGTAAGTGAGTGTGTATGTATGTGTGAGATCTTCCCAACGCACACACATGTAAAACGACAGGTATATAAAAAACGATAACACGAGGATGACAAATGACCTTAGCTCTTGCCTTCGATCCTATACAGTGACCTAGACGCCATGCAAGAACGTCAATGCAGGTAAAAATTAGGTGAATTTAAATCTGACGTAGTTTCACATACCCTTGTCATAGTTAGGTGGAGAGGGACGCCAAGACGCTGTTGATAATCGTACGGGAAGAGTTTTTATACAGGTAATCCAAAACTCTTTCCTTAAGTCCTTTAACCTCACATTTTTCTCTTAACCTGTAATGCTATTGTTATCTGTTACTGTATGTTAGTGTTTGTGTTATAATATTACGTCTGTATGTGTGTTTGTGCTTCTAAGCGTTCAAGTTCTTTATGATGTTAAGTGTCAGGTCTGTCATTCGGAGGATGGGGGAAGAGAGACGACATAGGCAAAAATATACCAATCAGAACATACCTGAGTAGTACACACAGAGGCAACACCAGCATCCAGTAAGATGTGTTATTGACTCTTTAAATGAAGTAAAATGGAAACTATAGAAACCACAGAACAAAACATTCTCATAAAACTAGCATAACACTGTCGCTATTGATTCCATTGAATAACTCTTCCACTATTGTATGACATGACGACTTGGCCCCAGTCATAAAATGCCCAGTCTTATTGTGCCCCAAGTTAACCTAACATAGTCACTATGAATTAGGCCCAATTCTAAGGAGATCAAGTCCTAGGTGGTCTTGGTTGGGTTGGGATCAGTAGTGCTGGGGTTTATTTAGACGAGGCCCATTTGACACGAGAGTGGAGTAACTTACTACCTACTGAAGGCTGGTGAATAATGGTATCAACACTTGTCATTGTAGACCTTCACAGATTAGATACAATCACCTCGACTCTGTGTACGTGGTTTTGTTGTCAGATGTGTGGCACAAACTGGTAAGAAATTCATTTTTCATCGTTTCTTTCACTGTGTTACGAATTATCAACATCCTGTCCTATCAGGCGACCGTTCAGTAGCTATCAGGTTATGTCCTAATTATCAAAATGTCGCACATTAAGCAAGTTAGATACGTTCTCACACCTCCAGTTAAGGGAAAATATATGATAGCGGTGAATATCCTCGTAGCTGGGTTTAAGATGTGGTGTATCACTCACTGCAGACTAACAGACACGCATTTAACATTACAAACTCTCGACCAGTATCTATATTGTTGATTATATCTTCAAGAATGCATCGCACAAGCTGTGTTTTATCAAGTAGTGTTCGGGAGTAACCCAGGAAAAGTAAAGACTCGTATAATTTGTAATTCAAGTACCAGGCTGTTTCATTGTCATATTGCCTTGAGGAAGTGTGTAGCATTCAGCATTTTGTATCTGGATGTGAGAAAGATCCTGTTTTTACACCACCGTGTTGACATGGCCACACGGCAAGCATCAAACATAAGACCTTCCTCATGATTTTGGCTTCTAGGAGAGACTAAATGGGTTAAGCAGTTGAGGAGAATTTTTTAGCTGTTATTCCCCAAGTAGTTACGGGTGTTATTTGGCTGCCCTAGCGTCATTCGCGGATGTTTAAGATTTCCCTCATTTCAGGGTAATCTGCTCTTCTCCTTAAGTAGGCCTGATAATTTAGAGTTTTTCGTAGAATAAACAAATTTAACTATATTTATTCATATTATATAGGATTTTCTAATTTCTGACAAAAGGCAAGTAGATGTTTTATCCTTATCCCCAGACGCATTTTGTAACTGTTTGGAGAATTCCTTATATTAAGAGAATTTTTCATTAATTGTTTTGCCTTCTAATAATCCCTGAACATCGATAATAGTATGGTATTCCATCTTAAACTTATACGTTTTCTTTAATATACCAATAACAGAAAATGTATTATCTGCAAATACATATAACCGATAGAATAGTGTTTAATATACTTACTGAAAGTTAAAGTACCAAAAATAAAAACAAGGATTTAAAGTTTGCGTTTAAAGGGAAGATTTTAAAACTTTAACATTAAAACAGTTTATTTAGCCAACAAAATATACAGAGTGGATATTAAAACAAAATTGATATAAAAAAGTTATATTCTTACTGAGAGTTAAAGCACCAAAAATAAAAACTAGAATTAAAAGTTCGCGTTTAAAGGGAATAATTTTGAAACTTTGATATGGCAGCAGTTTATTTAGCCACAAGAAAATATATGGATAGATTGAACAATTTGACATATACTGTTTATTTAACTCAAGGTGAAAAAGTACCCAAATAACCACAAAATGTTATATCCATAGTTTGTTTTTCCTGCAGACTACATGTAGACAGAGCATCACGTGTCCAGCCGTGCCCTGTCCTGCCTAGCCGTGCCTCGCCCTCCCTAGCCGTGCCTAGCCGTGCCTCACCCTGCCCTAGCCGTGCCTCACCCTGCCCTGCCCAGCCGTGCCTCACCCTGCCCTGCCCTGCCCTGCCCTGCCCTGCCCAGCCCTGCCCTCCCTAGCCGTGCCTCACCCTGCCTGCCCAGCCGTGCCTCACCCTGCCCTGCCCTGCCTCACCCTGCCCTGCCCTGCCTCACCCTGCCGTGCCCTACCCAGAGAAAGAAGATACTGGTACTAGGGTCAACTGGATGTTAGTGATGAACATTTGACCAACTTTTCTGATTTGGTTTTACTAACACCAGAAGGAGTGAATATATTTGGACGAAACTTTGTGAAAATGTTATAGACAATCTATTGTTAATATTTAGAAGTTGCCATCTGGTTAGGTTAGCTTAGATTAGGTTAAGTTAGTTTTTATTTAGTTTTGAGGTTTTTACATTGTTTGATCTCCCATTTTTTTAATAGCTCAACTACTGCTAATTTCAGACGACAATAAAGGTCATATTTGTATTTAACTTGATGATTTATACTATAAAAACCCATTTTCAAAAGTCATTTAGGTGGTGGCACCTTCCAAATATTAACCGTAGTCTACCTAACTTACCAAAATAACCGGTAAATTTGCCATTTTCAACCAATATGGCTCTCGAGCTTAGCAATGTGTTTGGTAAATTTATTGACCAACTCCCAACTCCCTTTGAAGCTTAAAATTTGATTCATTAAGTCATTTGATTCTACCGTAACATCCATTTATGTCATAAATCTCCTGTTTCATAGTTATGACCCCCAAACCTAACCTAACATCTCTGAATGGATTCTCGTATCCATTTACTGTATCTTTTTAATAGAATGTAATTAACATCTCCACAAAGTTTCTTAACAATCTATTAACTCCTTCTGCTTAGTCTAAAAATCTACCTTACCGACAACCAGACAATTATCCTCCATGTATTTTTAATGAAACACATTTTTAGACATTGTGAGTATATTTCATTATGAAAATAAATGTACTTTGCTTCTTATAAAAAATTATGGTAGTTATAGACGATATACCCATCGCCGAGTTTTTATAGAAAGTTAATTTAAAAAGCCGCAATTCACTGTATTTAGCATTGGACCCTGTCGTAGTTTGGGCAAAGGTGCTAAAATGGAGTTAGTTTTAAATTAAAAATAACCTAACCTTAGTTAATAAGAAACACAAGTGGCCAAAGCCTTGTGAGAAGACCACACCAACCTAACCAGAGAAAGCTACCTAACCTTACCTAACTTCCTAGCTGGGGGACTCTACCAAGGCCACCTAAAAGCGAAGGCCTGGGTCTCCCGTGCAAATCTGGTGATGACGTCACAACTGAAGGCAGACAGCACCAGTCTCCTAAACACGTAGTGAGAGAGTGGAGGAACTTATCGGTCTACAGTACTTTTATTCTCATTTCTCTTTTTCTGGACTGGATTTCATCAAAGGTAAGACTTGGACATGTTAATCTTCTTGTGTAGTAAGGGTAGAGGTGATCATAGATTTGAATTCATTAATTTAGAGTAGTTAAATGATGAATATAATTCAGCACATGTTTTTTGTTATGTCATTGTTAGCTTTAAGTAGCTCACAAACTGATGTATTGGATAGATTTATATATAATATATCAAATTCCAAACGTATATAAATGGTTTCAAAGAAATTACAGGGGTTTAAGTAAGTACAGTACTAGTATTTGTTTTCATCGAGCATAAACACGTGTTGTTTATACCATATATGCACCAGGTTCTTAATGCCTTGGATTTGTCTTGTCATTCCCCTCCGAATTCTTTCTAGGGATTGTATATCCACGTAATCCTACATGATTAATGGCTAAAGCTCCAACAGTGCGTGACAGAGACGTGACCGATCGCCCAAGCGGCTAACAAGTCGATCAGTGGCGAAGAGGATAAAAGTAAAAGTAAGTTTAAGTTCATCTTAATGCATGGAAAAAACTATTCTACTTTTACAGTTGAAAGTCTTAAAGAAGTCATTTAAGTATAGTTGGGGAGAGAGAGAGAGAGATAGACAGTGGCAGCTTGGCTCCCCTGGACCCATATAATACTTACATGATCTGAACACATTAGAATCACAGGCTCAAAGCCCAACTATAAGCAGAAGCAGTCACCAGTCATACTGGTCAGTAGTAACTTGGCTCCCTTGTAATGAGTCCTGGAAGAAAGCTTATTATCACCACTTTCACCAGTGTATAATACTGTAATTCACATCCATGTACGTACTGTATATATTAAAAACCACAGGAACATAATGCATCCCTGTCCAGTAGCGGCTCGTCGGTAGGCACTGTGGAACTGCAGCACCCCCTATTTCACCCGATATATATGTATTATATAATATAATATATCATATATGTTTATTTATACTTGTACAAGATATTTAAAACTATTTTCAATAATCCTTAAACTTAATGTCAATGGCCATCCTCTTATTCCAAGAAAACAACAAAAATCCCTGTGTGTGGAACTTTCTTACTCGACAGTTCCAAAAACGGGCGTTTGCTTTGTCGCACGCATGCACGCATGTCCTGGAGGCAAGCGGGGGCGAGCACTGTGGATCACACAGTGCCGATCTGGCTATCAGTGTGGGAGGTAGTGTTTACGCATCATCCTGTGTGGTGCTTACGCGCCCCATCTGCTATATCAAGAGTATTTGAATGAGATAAATTGTAGATGATGTGATATCATACTGTATGATATCACATCATCTACTATTTATCACATTCAAATACTCTTGATATAGCAGACGGCGCGTAAGCACCACACCGGATGATGCGTATGATTCATACTCATAGAGACTACATTTTGTATTCATTTTTTTTTCCAGAAACTTTATTGTGTAGAAGAATTTGACAATTCCTATGACTACATCAGAGCCTGAACGCTGCTTTTCAACATTAAAAATAATCAAAACTTTTCTGAGGAGCACTATGAATCAGGAAAGGCTAAATGCACTTGCAATGATTTCAACGGAGAAAAATTTCTTTAACAGTCATCCAAACATCAATGAGAAAGTTGTTGACCTTTTTGCTCAGAGGAAAACAAGAAGAATGGATTTTATTTTTAAATAAATTTGGATGAAGCTAGACTGGAGTATTTTATCTATAAGTGTTATTATTTTTTTTTTACCATACTTTTAGTATTTTATTATTTTTATCATTATATATATATATATATATATATATATATATATATATATATATATATATATATATATATATATATATATATATATATATATATATATATATATATATATATATATATATATATACTGTATTTCTGTGTGTGTGTGTGTGTGTGTCTTACACAATATTAAAGCAATTCTTAAAAATGTTTTGAAGCAGCACCCCCACGAATTAGAGTCATGAGCCGCCACTGTCCATGTCTAACACCCACATACTGTGCAGTATATTTGAAAATTTTCAATTTTATTCCCATTTACTCTTACTGTTGCCCTGCTGTTCTCGTAGAATGATTTTACTGCATTTAATAGCCTTCCTCCCACCCCATACATTTGTAATGCCTCCCACATTGCATTTCTGTTCACCCTATCATCAGCTTTTCAAAATCTATTATCAATCATTAAAACCATCTGTAAGTAATAAAAACAACATGAGAGGATTAAATTATTTTTTTACCATGGTTCAATCAGCCAACCCTGACTGTAATTGTTTGTTGTAATGTTGACTGTAGGAAAGGTAAAGGTGGAGCATATGGCTAACCTCATCTCACCTTCACCTCTTTTCAGTATTTAGCTTCAATATGTAAATTGAATGACTGTTCATTAACCTCTGTTGGCTCCGTTTATGTCACTTGGCTAAATTGCTCCACTTGTGAAGTTTGTCACCATGTCATGAACTGTTTCATTACTGACCATAGTTAGAACCTCAGATGAAAGAATAGATTGCATGAAGATTAAACACCCTTTTTCATCATGTGAGGAAGTTAAAAATAATATCAATAAATAAAACAAAATATACTGTACAGATATTGCCATTTTGCTGCTAGACGACTCAATTTGTCAATCGTTTCACTACACACAGGGGACAGCTCAGATCCCTCACTTCCCTCTCCCCGCTCAGTATGAACTCTTAACACACGAAGAAAGTTTATTCCCTTTTATGTTTTTTGCCTTGTGATAATTATTTACGTATTGTGGCCTGAAATTGTCCCAACATTCACAGGGTTCCCAACAGCCGAGCCTCAGTTACGCAACATAATAACTATGGCAAATGAAGTTGGAGGTGAAGGGTTCTCTGACTTAACAGCGGCAGAGGTGCAAGAAGAGTTATTGGGAAATGTTGGGGATCCATTTACAAGTGATGAACTAGAACAATTAGTGGAGCTGCAGGATGAAACAGAAGATGAAGTGAGTGATGATGAAAATAAGAACTTAACTTTAGATAATCTTGGTGAAGTAATAAGAATAAGTAAGGCCCTCTCTGCTCGTCTCTATGACATTGATCCCTCCCTTGATAGGTCCCTTAAAGCAAAGAGAGCTATTGAAAATGTTATGTTGCCATATATAGAACTGCAGAGGGAAATGAGAAGCAAGAAAGCACAGACCACCATCACCAACTTCTTCAGTCGCCGAGTGCCTGCCATCGCCGAACCTGCCGGCATCCTGCAACAGGAGGCAGAAGCTGCCGACACCTCACAACAACAAGACGTAGAAGCTGCCGGCACCTCACAACAACAAGACGCAGTACCTGCCCACACCCCTCAAGAAGATGCAGACCTTGACTCATCATACTCATCTGACTGGTCAGGCTTTTAATAAGCCTCAATCATCACACTTGTATATACTGTACACTGTATTGTTTACTGTAAGGACCGATGTTCACTTCAATAAATGAAATCGTAAGTTTGCTAGTATTTTTGTCCACTTATTATATTATTATTTATACACTATTATTTAAGGTTATGTGTAAAGGAAACGCATTAATGCTTAAAGGTACATTTATTCAACATATGCTAATAATAGTTAGAAAAATTACGTAACCATCACGGTATCGACGGTTTCTTTATCGACGGCCGTCTACAGAACGTAACCCCCGTCGATAAAGAGGGAGTACTGTAGTTTATTTTTTGGCACATTCAGTGTGTAAGATTGTGTGTGCATGTAACATAGTTAAAAACGACAAAGAAAATTACGTACCATCTATCGGCTCGCAATTACCAGTCAAAAATGACCATAACGTAGTTCACAACTTGGCCTGGAGTGGCAGGGAGAGGGTGGGGAGATGTGATTATAGTGACGAGTCTTGTGTTACTACAGTATTACAAATACAGTACAGTGAATCCTCAAAGATTCGGACCCGGTAAATCCAGATTTCGGAAGATTCGAACAAAATTTGGGGGTTCTGGGGGCTAAGAACTTAAGAAGTTTCTCAAAACGGAGCAAATCTTATCTTAGACCCGTGTAACTAAGATGCCAGCGCGTGGGACAGGTTTGCTTTTTTCACAATAAGTATGGAGGATTTTGAGTGCATATAGCCGAATAAAAAAAAATACGTATATCAACCCAAAATTACGAGTTACAAAATAACCATAACACCTCACAGCTCGGTAAGGTTAGCCTACCGGTAGCATTGTAAATAACCCACAGAAATGCAGAAATTTTAACCCCGCAAAAATAATTTGCGTACAGTTTATATCCCCTACTTTCTGCATAAAAATTTGATCGTAAAAACTTGAACTATACGTACTTGAATTTATGTGGTAAATAAAAGTAAATATAGAAAACCAACAAGTACCCGGTATATCTATAATTTTGTCTGTTCATGTTGTTGATTATCATTGACTACACAAATTAAAACCAAGATCACCAGATACAAATCGTGCTAAACCATCGAAGCTGTCAAACTATCGGATCCCGAACTACAGTTCTGAAGTTCAAGTATTTTTCTGTCCGTCAATTTATATCTATCAGTACCTACCGTGTATTTACTTTTATATATATTTTTTTATTTTTGTGTGTGTGTATCGGTGAATCCATCTTTATTACATATCTCTCTTTATTGTATTTCCCACCATTTAAATGTACAGTACCACTAATTAAGCTGGGGGAATATTTAGGAAAATATTAGTGTTTCTCGAGCATTCAAGTTCCCAAGAAAGTTCACATAAACCAAACTTGCATTAAACAAACAACTAATGTACTGGGTGGTAATTCATAGACATATTTTAATCATAAATATTGGTGTGTGTTAAATTTTGTTTGTTTGTTACAGGCGAGTTAAAGACTAAACCTTGGGGAACTGAACTACTACACCATCACAACTGAAAATGATAACTGGAACCTGAGACAAAGACCTGCCATTGTAGATCTTCATTCCAATGTACACTATAAAACCACCACCACCAGCACCACTATCACCAGTATCACCACCTGCATCATCACCACTACTAGCATCACCACATATGGCAAGCTAAGCTATAGGAGCAGCTCTCATAGCCTATAGAGTAAATCTTTCTGCCTGTCACACTGTGGACAAGTTGTTTATAACTGTGTTCCTCTTAGTCATTTGTCTTTGTCTGTCTTTTTATTTATGGGGGATGAGAACCACAAAATTTAATAAATCATCATCCTGTATTTTGTATACCGTACATATATTGAACCTTTATGTGTCTTGATATTTTGTTTTAAGAAAAATTTATTTGTGAGGAATGCAACTGTTGTACACAAAATTAACGTAAATTTCTCGTCACTCATTCAATCACGGTATAGTACTTATGTAGTTTCATGTCCCTATCTGTCTTTATGTGCCTTTTAATATATCTATCATTTTAGCTATCCATTATCTATCAGTATCTATATGTCTATCAATACCTATCTCACTGTTTTATTATATCTATCAATCAATTTATCAATACAAGTACAGTATTTGTCAGTCTGTCAATCAAGGCTGGCTCTAGCTTCTGAAGGGCCCTATGCAAGATAATGGTTGGGCCACCCATTCCTTAGAGCCTTAGACAACCCTGTAGGGGTGGGTAATGTTATTATTTACACTGTTGTCACCATTTTATAAGGGAGCACATTTTGAGATTACTGCTCCCTTACAATTTTATATAGCCTGAATATATATTCTTTCTTCATCAATTTACTTATTTTTCTCCGTTCTTTTTTGTCTTCTTTCTTTCTTTTCTTTATTTCTTTATAATTGTTTCTGTTTTATTTTCTACTTCAAACACTCTTTCTTTCAATGTCTTACTTTATTAATTCCTTATGTTATTTATTTCCTGGTTATTTTACTTCTCATACAAATAACCCCTAGCTTCTTAATGTACTCCTCAGTTACCCACAAAAGAAGCGGGAGGTGAAGTTTTTCGACTGTGTGTTGCTCTCGTGCCACCCTTATCACCAACATACCCGCACCATTTGAGCTTTTTCACTTTATATTAAGGATGCCACACCAAGTAAAACTCAAGAAACAGCTCGCAGAAGCACTGAAGAAGCACTGGAGTGAAGAGAGAAAGAGGATGAATGCATCATTATCACGAAGAGAAGAGTAAGTAATGTCTTCGGGCCCTACATATCATGCGGTGATGACAGCTGTTCAATTCAGTATGAAGCAGATGGGTTTGATAGCACCATCAAGCTAAATTGTGAAATATGTGACAAGAAGATAAATAACAAGCCTGACCGGGTCTCCCAAGACATGCTGCCAGAAGGGTCACCTGTCCTCAAGACAAATGTGAGGCTAGTTTATTTGTCAGTGACTGATGATTATGGTCTAGCTGGACTAAGAAGAATCCAGGGTGTACTTGGAATGCCACCTATGGGTAACTACAAGTATTACCAATACTTGAAATGGATCACTGGTGCAATGAAGAATCATTTTAAGGAGAAACAAGAAGACGGTGTTTTAAACATTGACATATCATATGATGGCACATGGATGAAACGAGGTCACACTTCGAAGACAGGCATGGGAGTAATAATTGAAGTATGCACTGGATTTGTTGTGGGTTTCGAAATAATGAACAAGTACTGTTTTGCCTGCAGTATCAAGGAAAATCAGCCAATCACGGATCTCATTATATTCACTCGTGGGATTTTACTACTGGGATTGTAAACATAGGAGAAAGTTTCCAAGTACAGTAGTGTAGTAATTTATTATTTCTTAGGTGTACAGTACAGGGAACCTTTGAGGCAACATTACCTGTTTAACTATTTTAATTCATTCAAACTAGATAAGCACATTCATTTAAGCCCCCCCCCCCCAAATTTGCTAAATGTTAAATTTTGTTACTAATTTATTTATCCTTATGAAATTGCAGTACTGTACTTTCAAAAGTTAATGTAGAAATGTAGAATAAAAGTTACAATGTTAATATTTCCAATTAAAAGGTTTCAAAGCAAGATATTTTCACAGTACAGGTATAATGTATCCTAATACTACTTATTTACCTCATATGTCATGACTATTTTCATAATTTACCATTACTGTATTATAAAATTTTCTATCTTATAACATGATTGACAATAAGAATTAGATTACAGTTACTATGCTGATACTGTAAATGAATATGAACCAAAATGAGAATTATAACTGACAATGTAAGTACAGGTGTGTATGGTTCAAGTTTTATATTTTATGTGTGTGTGTTTCTTTTACTCACACTGCTACAGAAACACTGGGATATTGTCCTTACAGAAAATGGCAGGAATAGAGTAGCACATGTAACACTCAAAGCCACTAATGGTAGCTGCTACATCAAGACAGCCAGGTTCCCAGTATAAAGCAAGACTAGAGAGCATTGGTCAATTGTATCACAAAAAGTGAAGAAGTTTTTGTCAACTGTACATTGTATACCTACATTACCTATACTGTACTGTATACATACTGAATCCTTGCACAGGTATAGTATAGTATGCCTGATAAATGCGAATTACTGTAGATTCAACGCAAGTTATTTTAACACTACAAAGGCAGGTGATTAAGAATCACATTTTGACCATTCTTTTCTTTATATGAATAGATTTGCTTTAATGAACACCAATCACTGACTAAATAATGCAAAGTTTTACCTGTCAGGATTAATATTTAGTGATGAAATAAGATGATTTGTCTTTGTTACAAAATGAAGTGATTCATAATGAAATAAGGATAGCTACATTAATTTACTTAAGGAATTCAACAAATGTAATCTTTTAGTTTTGAGGCGATTGTCCAGCAATAACTTCAGTAAAGTGCTACATCAAGATTTCCACATTGAACCATTACTCTGTGTTTAATACATCCAGTGAAAACCGAATCTGCTGTGTACAAACACTTGGACTGAAAAGTACACTTAACTTTGCACTGAATTATAGGAGCTAAAAAAAAACTGAGGCATCTAAGAACATCTCTCTGTAGTTTGAAATCTTAAAATTGCTTCTAAGAAGTTATGATCAATTACATGCCTTAACTACCCACTGTGCCGCACTTTACTATAAAACAACCACAGTTTTGCCTGAAAATTTGTGAAATGCCAACATAAGATATCCTTGTTGATCAGTGGTAAGTAATTCTCATGTCTGGTACAGCAACATTTTCCCAGATCTACACAATTCAAGGAAATTGTATAACCAGCAACTGGATTCTCCATCATTCATCTGGAAAGGAAGAATCTTTAAATGGTAGATACTTCCAAATACCCTGTACTTCCAGTTTAATTGGATCAGTAAATTCTGTAACATTTAAAAGTTTAAAATTTAAAATATTGTGAATGGTATAAAAAATATTCACCTAACCCCAACAAGCACTCGATACCCATGGGAGAGGACACTTTAAACCCCTTGCACAGGACATGAGGAGGATATACTATATAAACGTACAGTCTTTATATAACTAGCAATAAAAGCATTAAAACATTAAATATCTATCTTTATCTATATCTATCTATTACTAAATCTGTGTTAACAACCGTGACTAAGGTAAATTACCTCATTGTAGTCAGGGAATTAATACGTCTATATTTTGCCAGGTGAGGTTTTCTGAGTGATATTTATTTCAAGGGTGCTGTTATTTTAATTAGAAATAAAGTTACGTATTTCTTATGGTATAATTGAGGTTATTAAAGTTGGTAGCCATGTTTTAGTACCAGATTGGCAACCACGATTTGTCAACACTAAAAGCTGACACATTGTTGGAAACGAGGTTGTTCAAACAGGTGATTTGGTGTAGGTCAAGCTGGGAGTTATTTCGACCCTGACTACAAGGAAGGCCACCGGATTCGAGCTGTCTCTTCACATTCAAGGTATGTTTTCCATCGTTTTATACTCGGTTTTATTTATCATACTTTGGCTAAATATATAAACTTATAGTAAATGTATTTTGCTTCATATAAATATGTTTTGGGATAGATTTATTTTATTATATATGGGTGAAATAAGGGAATTTATAGTTTGAGGAAAATGTCAAGTGCATGCCGGTGTACTGTTGCGTATTGTTGAGTGAACTTGCTTAAGTACTGAGTCAAAACCCCCACTAGATCGTTTATTTTAAAGGAAGGAAACGCGTAACAATACTTGTGAAGTTAAAGGAGTTGTTTGGGGGGAATTGAAGTTAATTAAGGTTGTTTATTTAAGAATTGACTGGTCTCCACTCCAGATAATTTCACTTTTGAGTTTAACCATCACAATGCTTTTTGGTTGAGTGACTTGTGCTGTAGGGTTTAAAGTGTCGTGTGCTGGGGGGTTTAAAATGTCCTGTGCTGCGGGTTTAAAGTGTCCCGTGCTGGGGGTTTAAAGTGCCCTGTGCTGGGGGGTTTAAAGTGACATGTGCTTGGAGGTTTAAAGTGTCATGTGCTTAGAGGTTTAAAGTGTCCTGTGTTTGGGGATTTAAAGTGTCCTGTGCTGGGAGGTTTAAAGTGTTCTGTGCTGGGAGGTTTAAAGTGTTCTGTGCTGGGGATTTAAGTATCCTGTACTGAGTACGGTATATATTTTCTTCTCGTGTTGTTTACTGTAGAAGGAGGAGGGTGCCTAGCTAGCAGACAAGCGTACTGGCTAATGAAAAACAGATAGGTAGGCATACAGGTGGACAAGCTAGCGTGTTTGTTTTTTTGGCAAGTTAGGTGATAAACAAACGCACATCTACTGTAAACAAATTTAACAGTATAAAACAAGGCAAATATACCATTGTTATAAGGCCTTGTGGCGCAACGGATAACGCGTCTGACTACGGATCAGAAGATTCCAGGTTCGAATCCTGGCAAGGTCGCTTATTGATTTTTACTCCTGAGCTGATATTTTAATCAGAAAAATTAATTATCTATTTTAGATTATCAGGCGTTAATTGCAATTAATTTGTCTATAAGCAAAGGTTTTATATAATCTTGTTAAGTGTTAATTAACTCGTTGTTATGCAAGTTTCTTAAGAACGTTGTCAAGAGGGGTTTTTTTTTCGGGGTTAATGCAGCTTTTCACAACAGTAGTAGAGGACCACCTAGAGATTAGCCACCAGCTTGTTTCATCTGATCATTAAACACCCTAACGGTACCTGAAAAGGTTAGGTTATGGTTATAGTTAGATTAGATTGCATTAGATTTGGTTTGATAAGATTAGGTTAGGTAAAAATAAACTGGTGTGTCTAATCTTCAGGCGATCCAAGAAATACACATGTTTACCTGCAAGTAGTGAAGGGGCAAAAAAGTAAAAAAAAAATAGTTAAGGAGGTGGCAAGAATGAGGAAAAGAAAGAGAGATGAAGACTGGCTAGGTGAACGAAACCTTTAGAGAAAATGGAAGAGATTAACGCAGGAGAGAGAGAGAGAGAGAGACTGGTGTATCAAAGGTGGCTGGGATAAAGAATTAAAGATACTGAAGACAAAGGAAAACAAAAGGAGAATGTTTTAGTGATTGAGAAAAGAGAAATAGATACAAAAGAATTAGGAATTGTAGAGAGAATAGATAATTTCCAATGTATGAGAAAAACATCACAGGCGATAGAAAGAGGAAGAAAAGGAATGGGGAATTAGCAAGTATAGGTGAAGTAATCGGCACTGAAGGGCGGGAGTATAAACATGACCGAATTTATGTGGAAAAGAGGACAGTTGAAGTGTTCCTCTTCCACGATATTGAAACAATGAGAAAGAAGCATTACAAAACTGCTTAATATAGAAGATAAGAGTGAGGCTTTATCGTGGAAAGAGGATGGCTTAGAAAAGGACAAAGTGGTAAGTTGTTGACCTTATGTGGGGTCAAATACAAAATAAGCTTATAGAAAGGCTGTCGAGGTGTTATCTTTCCTATTTAAATTTAAAAAAAGCTTGAATGTATAAATAGTTATATATATAGTTAACAGTAAAAAATGCAGGCGTTTGGCGCTATCTGATATCACCTCCGTTATTAAATGTTCACAATACGTGGAATGGGAGTAAAAGCAAGTGACTGTCGAATACTGTACTACTGTTACATGGTGTTGACAGAGTGGAAGTTGACGTGAAAAATGCCGTGTTGCTACCTGAGACTGACGATGGAAAGAGTGTTGGAGTGACTGATAAGATGTTTGGATGGAGAGTAAATACTGTAGGGCGTGAAATATTAATGTTTTAAAATGAGAGAAAGTTTCAGCATGAATTTGGGATAACCTAAAGATTAGCCTTCCCTTTCCCAGTTTATTTCACCTTGAGATTAACCACTCAATATTTAACCTAATCTAACCTAGTGTAACATAATCTAACTTAACTTTGCACTTTAAATGGGGGTCTTTTGTCCAGGGGGATTTCGTTCGGGTCTTCTAGGGAACATGGTCTGGTTTCAGGGAATTGATAGAGTAAGGAATGGCTGAGATAAGAGCAAAGAAACATTTGGGGTCAAAACGTCTTCACTGATTAGATAAGAAATCAATTGAGTGGTGTGGGAATATGGAGTCATAACAGGTGAGAATGAACCACCCTAACGATAAATTAACGCTTCGAAAAACTAATGGCATTTGGATTTTTTTTACTATCATCTTCTAAATAAATAAATAGTTTTAACCATTATATTACCATGAACTAACCATCATTATCGCCGTGATTTAATGTTTACTTATCCTGCCTCCATTAGCCAGCCGCCCGCAGGAGCTGGTATACATCCTGGGAGTAAAATTAGGAAGTCGAGAGTTGTTTGACTTGGTAATACTGCTTCTTCTCGTCAACCCCCCCCAACTACTCCCTTTCCCCTCCCCACCATACCCCTTCCTCTCCCATCCCAACCCCAATCCCCTTCCCCGCCCTGCCCCTCTCCACCTCCTCTCATTACCCCACTCTCCCTCCTCTCCCTGCCCCGGTCTCCCTCTCCTTCTCTCCCATTCCCTCTCTCCCTCCCCTCCACTCCCCCCATCCTCTTTCAATCCACCTCCGTCCTTTTTTTCTCTCTTCCCACTTCCTCAATTCTTTCCTCTTTTCC